TTTTTCAGGAAAAGTCTTTTATGGCAACATAGAATGGGAAAATAAATTGGCAAAGTTGTAGTTTTTTCAACCCCTAAAAACGGACCTGTCTAATATATATATATATATATATATATATATATATATATATATATATATATATATATATATATATATATATATATATATATATATATATATATATATATATATATATATATATATATATATATATATATATATATATATATATATATATATATATATATATATATATATATATATATATATATATATATATATATATATATATATATATATATATATATACATATATATATTTATAAATATATACATATATATACAGTAAAATCCCGTTAAGTTGGACTTTCAATGAACAGATAAACAGTATGCCTTTCTTTTTAAAAAGTATAAAGAGGATGTGTGATAAACAATTAAATACTTTATTATAAAGAACGAGAGATCTCTCTAAAGGTAAATGATATCAGAAAGAGTAAAAAGAGAAGAAATATATGTGAAACAGCGGGATGTGAACCTGGGTCTACGCGGCCAAATGTCTTAACTGAATGAGCTATACGTTCATTCAACTAAGTGAATAGTAATATTTATTTAATATATAATTAAGAAACTATATAAAACAGAATTTACAGAAAGAGATACGTATGCAAATAGGATTCTATATATCAGGAAAATGAATAGTAATGTGAACCTTTAGATGCTAATAATTAATATCTGGACTCAAAAACTAGTTACTTTTAATGGAACACAATAGGCTGTAGGAGCCTCAGAGAAATTATATTCAGAAATGGTTATATTAGACTCAGAGTTAGCTAGAAATTATTACAAAGTATTTAGGACAGATGTCTAGTACAAAAAGCAAAAGATTTAAAGCAAAATGATATATATTATTTGAAAAAGTTGTTTTACGTACATTTCATCATAATTTAAGTAGAACTTAGTAAAGCAAGGGAAACGTGTTGAATTAAGCACAATGAACTCAATCTTAAAAGAATAACTAACAGAAGAGAGGTTGTCACTATTATGAAGGTGACGAAAGATCTGTAATATAGAACATGGAGGTCAAAAAATGCTATCTTAAGTAAAAAGAGTTTGATGAACAAAAGTTACAATGGCTGCAGGATGCGAACCCGGATCTCTGCGGCGAATTATCACATATCTAACTGATTGAACTATACAATCTTATACTCAAATTTATATGTTATTAAAATTAAAAAACAATATTTTCTAAGATCTATACTTCGAAAAGCGTATTCAAACAGGACTCTACATACCTTTAAAATCTGCTAGAACTTTAGTAACGTGCACACTTTTAGAAATTATTGAAATAGGTATATTTTATCAGAAATATGCTTAAGCTAAAGCATATTTTTGAGCCTCTTTTTACTATTTGCTTAAGCATATTCGAACCTGTTTCAAAAATTTCATATACTTTAAAAAAAAACATGTATATTCCTACCCATCATTCCTATTTTTAATATACGTTTTAATATACGTAAAAGCGGCAGTGGTGTAGTGGTAAGAGCGCTCGCTTTGTAAGCGAGAGGTTCGGAGTTCGACTCCCACCACGTCCCTGGAAGTACCGCGCTCAACTTAGTTTCTCCGCGCAGCGGCCTTGCTTGTCAAGGTTCGTGTTTCGGAGTTAAAGAGTTGAGAGAGGGTTGTACCACGAAATACAACAAAAAAAAAAAAAAAAAAAAAAAAAAAAAATGAGTAGCCTCCTCGACTGTAGTGGCCCCCTCGGGCCTTGGGGAGGTGAATAATGTAAAAAAAAAAAAAAAAACGTAATGAGTTCAAAAAACATCGTTGTATATATTTATTATGGCACGTTTCGTAAGTTTATTTCCGTTAAGAATTCTTTCGTAAGTTGTGATCCGAAATACTTTCGTTTCGAAAGAAATTTTATTTTTTATCAATATTTCTAAAAATAAAACCATAAAAATTTAATAGTTATTATACTGAAAATAAAAATTCATTATAAACATTTTGGGATTTAAAGATGTTAATTTTTACAATTAAAATCAGTCTGGCAAACAAATTTTTTTTATAGACTTCAAAACGTTGTTTGGCGAAAATGTTTGTTTCGCAAGTGCGACTTCCGAAACCGCTACTTTCGTATGTTGCAAAATAGTTTTGTTTCGTATGTCAACTTGCGAAATGTTAAATTTCGGAAGTGGCTTTTGCGAAATGAACCTCGGCGATTTTAAATGTTTTGTAACATTCGGTACCAAAAAATGTAATTCCGTGTTCTCAATCTCCTTACGAAAGAATGTTGTTTTTCCGGAATTGCACGAAATCCTCCGGTTAACAACCCTAATTTATACCAATTCTTTTTTTTAAATCTTTATTGCATATTTTATCTATTGACAAAAATGAATTTTTTTTTTAATCTAATTTACTTCCAACAAGCAACCACTACTTAATTAGTTATTAAAGACTGCAAGCAACCACTATTAAGCTGGACATTACAAAACAAGGAAAA